GTTTAACTGACTGAGCCACCCAGGCACCCCAAATTTTGCATTTTAATTAGTGTACTTTTCAATAATTTCTAGTTGGTTCTTTTTAAAAACTTTGTTTTTATTTGCTGAGATATCCTCCTGATACTTTCCTTTATTCCTTTATACATGGTTTCCTTTAGTTTTTTTAATATATTGAAAATGTCTGATTTTAAGTTTTTGTCCAATAATTTCAACATCTGGGCTTCCTCAGAGACATTTTCTGTTGGCTGTTTTCTTCCTGTGTGTATGGGCCATATTCCCTTGTTTTGTTTGTTTTGTTTTTTATTTGTTTTTTTGCATTTCTCATAATGTTTTGTTTAAAAAACTGGATATTTTAAATACTACAGTTTGGCACTGGTAGAAATCAGATTATTCTCCACCTCAGAGTTCGTTGTTGCTATATGTTGTTGTTTGTTTGTTTAATAACTTTTCTGATCTATGAAGTCATTAAAGTCAGTATTCTTTGTATTGTGTGGCTGTAACATCTCTGCTTGGTTAGCTTAGTGGTCAACTGATGGTTGGACAGGGATCGCTTTAAATATCTAGAACCATAACATTGTTTGTCTTTGCCTGGGAACAGGCTACCTCAGAAGTAGGAAGGGAGAGTAGGAATAGAGCAACTGAAAACATTCTTACTATTCTTACCAAGATCTAGCTAATATTCTTGAATAGACACTTCCTGCAAAGATTTGGTTAATTCCAGAGTTCTTTTGTTTAAAGAAATGATGCACCCCACTCACAAAAAAATTAAAATTAAAAATTCACATGAGTCCCACAACATTAAGAGAGTCAAATCGGGAGAAAAACCACCCTTTTGAAGCCGTGTTCCTGGCTATTCCCCCGATTTGGTCTTTGCTCAACCTTTTTTCATTTTAGCCTCATTTGCTGTATGTATGTATGTATGTATGTATGTATGTATGTATGTGTGTGTATTGTGTGTGTGCACACACACACACAATACACACACACACACACACACTGAAAAATTTCAAAATAATCAAGACCTGGTTTCTTTTTGTTTAACAATACTCCTTTTAGTATAGCTCTCCTCTTACATTTTATATAATTAGCAAGAGACCAGAGGGCATCTCAACACTTTCCTTAGGAATTTCCCTAGATAGATCACCTAATTTATTGCTTACATTTTCTACTCTCCAGGTTACTGTAAACAATAGTGTTATAGAACTTTCTGCCACTACAAAATAAGTATATTCTTTCCTCTACTTTCCAATAACATTTACATCATTGTCCTACAAATCCTCACTGTACACACCTTATCAAAGACCATGAAGCTCCTATTAGCAACTTCTTCCTTACTGTTCAATTTACAATGTTAGTTCTCCCCAAAGCCCACTGCCTGGTTCTAAAGCCAAACATGCATTTTTCTTACAGCAATATCTCAACTAACACGTACCAAAATTTGTTTTATTTATTTTTGCCATTTATCCCCAAAATTTGGCAGTTTAAAATAGCAAACATTTATTATCTCACATTTTCTCTGAGCTGGGACCCTCAGAGCAGCATAGCTGGATGTTTCCAGTGTGGTTTCTCACTTGGCTGCAATCAAAGGGTCAGCTAGGGTTACAGTCATCTGGGATTTGATTGATCTAGAGTATCTTCTTCCAAGTTCATTCATTGGTTGTTTGCAGGAGACCAGTTCCTCTCCATGTGAGTCTCTCTATAGAGCTTCTAACAGTATGGTCTCCTCTGGAGTGAGTAATAAGAGAGATTGAAGGACAGAATAGGGGATGGGGAGTGAGGGTATGGGGGGACAAGAAACACTAACATTCAAGGTTACTTGATACTTTATTCTTTTATAACTTAATCTTGGAAGTGACATGCTTCTTTAGTATGCTCTTGATCACCCATACCACAGCTGGTGTAACATGGAAGAGAGTACACAACAGAATGAAACCAGGAGTTCGAATCATTGAGGAAGCATCTTGAAACTGGCTATTACAAAGAGCTTGTTAAACTTTGAATTAGTTAAATTTGAAAAATGAGACGGGAAAAAAGTTGTTTTTGTCTTCTTGGGGCAATAGACACTATTTCCATGTGGCAGCATTCTCTCTTCTAGCCAAATATTACTTGCCTGACCTTTAAAAACATTATGATTCCTGGTCTGTATCTCTAGTTAACTCATTTGCTTGTGCACATAATCTAAAAGGCTCAGTGACTAATCAGCAGCATTTTCTTGGTCTCTTTGTCTTTCTCTTTTTTCATTAATTAAACATACACGTATTTCCCAATACAAAGGGCCAAAACTGAGTACATGAAAAGAATAGGCAGCATTATGTATTCTGCTTTAAACTTAACTATAAACTCAACCCTAAAGTTGTAGCCCTAGGGAGATGACATGAATCCAGATATGTTTCTGTTCTTTTTTTGGTAAATTTAATTATTTTGAATTTATAAGTTGACATTATTCAATAAATTGTAGGATAGTTAAACAAAATACCTAGAAGTAAATCCAGTATCTCCTTTTCTCACATATTACAAAGCAAAATTGGGCTTGAAAAAAGATGGAAAAGAATGTTCACAGAAGCCTTCAACAATTCCTGTAGGTAATAATCAAGAAATGATACATACTGGGAATCCCTATGTGTACAACATGAAAATTTCTTGTTTTAGTGAATCACATCATTTAAGGTACATGTGCTAATATCGCCTATTCTGGACCAAAAAGTATTTACATGTACTTAGAAATTAGGTCCTTTCTATTTTTCTATTAGTTAATAATTTTATGCTAACGTAGTTAATATTTTTACTTATTTGGCAGTTTGTGACTTAAATAAAATACAACTGCTCAGTCTGCATCTTAATAGCTAATGTTTACTAGACTGTTAAAATGTGCCAAGTACAGGAAATCAGTATTTTATCTCCAATCCTGTGTAACTTTAAAATATCCTGTGAGCAAGCTCTATTATGATTTCTAAGATTCTGTTATCATTTCCATTTTTATGAACAGAGAAACTAAAACGTAGAGGAGTATGTGATTACCCTGAGCTCATAAACATGGCTAAGATTGCAACCTATAGCTACGCCTTTTTTCCCCCCAGTACCTAAAAACAGTAGTGCCTCTCTTCCCTATTGGGTTCTAAATGAATAAATGTGAAGGCTAAAATGTTATTTTTTTTTTATAGATCCACAGTTCCTTCTCTCAGATGTTTTTTTGAGAATTTAATTTTTTTGTTTTGAAAGAGGTAATATAACCAGGATGTTTATTATGTAACATTTCCAGCAGGTCCAAAACAGTACCCTGTGATCAAATATATGGATACTTCTGCGGGACTATAAATAGATTCATTTCAGCCTAGATCACATTTTGCTATCAGATTTGGTAGTGGTCATGGTAGAGACAGTTTGTTGCTTCTCCTCACCTCCAAATAGTACATGTTTTTAAACCATTTCACACTTAAAAAATTTTTTTATCTATATTTTTTATTTTAGAGAGAGAGAGCATACACAAGCTGGCGAGAGAGCTTGTTGGGGGGTGGAGAGAGAGAGAGAGAGAGAGAGGGAGAGAATGAGAGAGAGAGAGAATCCTAAGCAGGCTCCACACTCAGCATGGGGCCTGATGCAGGGTTCAATCCCACGACCCTGGGATCATGATCTGAACCAAAATCAAGAGTCAGACACTCAACCAGCTGAGCCACCCAGGCAAACTGCCGCCCCCCCACCCTTGTATTTTAGAGCCATGGATCTATAACAGTAGATGTTTTGGGGAACTTGTCTTCAAATCTCTTAGACATGTGCTTCAGCTAATACTGAACCCCAAAACTAACGAGACTTAATCCTTCAGTCTCAGACAGCCCTGGATCAAGGCATGCCTATTCAAATAACACTAATCTGCCTGGGTAAGAGTTAAGGTATTTAAGGAGCAAAGGCTTAGTATCTCAAGGTTCAATTCTAAGAGGAAGAAGTATGCAGCCTAATCACATCTGCATAGTTAATCCTTTCCAATTTACCAATAAGTCTACCTCTGAAGGAGCAGAATAAATAAAAGGATTGGAGGCCAGAAGCACACGTGTAGAAAAACCACCACTACCTAGTCTCCCCAATACCAAAACTCCTTATCACTATACTGTGTTTACAAGTAGTCTGTCCTTATTCCACACCTCTTATATAAATCATTCAGTTGTTTTACCTCTTGTACAAGTTCAACCAGAATTGTATATCATTGCTGACCTTCATTATAGTTATAGCAGATCAACATGTTTTGAGGTCAAGAATTGATTAAGACCCTCAATAATGGTATTGCCATTTTTATAGGAGAGTCTTAATAGATACATGCTGAAATATTTAGGAGTGAAACGTCATAATTCTACAATTTGCTTTCAGTGGTTCTGCAAACAAACAAAAAAGTTTAAAAACTAAGTATGGTCGAATACTAACAATTCTTGAATCTTGGTAGAAGCTGCCTGTGTCACTGTAGAGTTCATTACCTTTTCTTTATGATTGGAATTCTCAGTGTAAGTTGAGGAAAGAAAAATTTTTGATGACCTTCAGGTTATTCTATATAGGATTCTATATAGAATACACATTTGATAGAATTGAAAATTTTAATGGTAATAGTTATAAGAATTTAGATGTTTTGTTTAATAGTTAATACATGCACTTTGTATATTAAGTTAGAAATTGCCTAGTTACAATTTATGTTCACATTGTGTTTTAATATCTAGTAGAATACCTTTGAATTAAAACTGAAAATAAGCTGTTTTGCTTCTCTAATCCTTTGTCTGTATTTTAGTTTGGAACCAAAAGTGTTTGTTTTTAAGAAATGATTAAATATGCCAAGTTTTGGGTTGATGTAATACTAATTAAATCTACAAGGTTTCTGTTGCTAAGTCCTAGAAACCATTAGCCATTGTGGACTGAACTAAAAGACTTCTGAAACCATTAATTTTTAATAAAAATAAATTTAAGTGTTGGTATTTTGCATTTCTCTTTTTTAATGCTTATCATATTTATTTCTTCCCTAGATCTTCCTCAGAACTGTGATCCTAACATTCCCTTAGTTGCTCAGGAATTAATGAAAAAGATGATACGTCAGTTTGCAATTGAGTATATTTCAAAAAGCGGTAAAATTCAAGAAAATAGAAATGGTTCAATTGGACCAAGTCTAATATGTAAAAGTATCCAAATGAATCAAGCAGAAAACTCCCTTCAGGAAGAGCAGGAAGGCCCCTTAGACCTCACTGTGAATCGAATGCAAGAACAAAACACTCAGCAAGGTAAGACTGTGTGTGTGTGTGTGTGTGTGTGTGTGTGTGTGTGTGTGTGTGTGTAAAACATAATGCTTTGTTTTAGTATTATTTAATATATATAAACCTTATATTCATAAA